GAAAAAGAAACAAACTCTCCATGGTTTGAAAGACACATCATTGGCAAGCCTCTCTGTTAAGCTTGTGTAGCTTTTACAACCTAGCACAGAATGAGGAGAAGGTGAGAAACTGGAGTTGTAGCATCTTCACAATGTATATTACTGCAGTCAATCTGAGGCACCTGGCACCTCCACGCTGGACACAAATTTGCTGTCATGAGCAAATTGTGGGGAGTTCAGCAAGCAATTGGACCCAGTGAGAATATGTTGTCAAAAAAACCACCAAAACCTGGAGATGGCCTTGTTCCAAATATGTCCACAAAAGAAAAGGAAGGCCATTTGCTGGAAGTATTTAAACTGATCCCAAGCATGATGTTTTGAAAACAATCCAGTAAGGACTGAGGAGGAATAGTCCCCTATGATTCTGAATCATCACTGATAGTGGTAGAACCAGAATACAGAAACCACTAAGAAATCCCACTTACATTTAAAAAGATATAATGATTTTATGTATCACTTCCCTCCCTAACACTACACTTCCCTAGCTAATAAAACAACTTTCTAACTAATGCTATAATTGCAACCTGATGACCAAATAGAGAGTCAGATACACAGGCTGGGCTGATGTCTGAATTGACAGTTCATTGCTCCACTTCCACAGTCTGCTTTAAAACATCAGTGGTTTGCTGTATTCTTGAACTCTCAAAGCAGTGTAGAGCAAACATCAAGATTTCTCCAACTGGGAGGTGTGGGCAACAACAACAACACAGATTTCCCATTAATCCAGACTTGTAGAGTTTAAAGGTGTACAGCTAACCTAGCTATAGCTATATCCCTTTTTCATATTTGAAAATTCAGTACTGCAATGATAGGGATTAAAAGTATCACAAGGTGAGACCTCCTCTTCCTGCCACTCTCTCTCTCCCTCTCTCTTTTTTATATACCTTTCTCTTCCCAGAGCCACTGAAAGCAGGTTCGAGCCCCACTGGGAAAAAAAATTTGTGCCCTCCAGCAAGGGCAGGCCAACTAAAAATATTTACATGGGATTTAAAATAAATGTGTGGTCTCATTTTTAGTTTAATAATAAATATAATATTTGTACCTATTGAGAATGTTAAGATCCTAATGACTAATATCAATAAGCACTCATATAATAATTGCTCAACTAACTATACAGTACTTTAAATGTTACACTTGTATGTGTAACACAACACAATGTGTATCACACAACAACTTTGTTGTATTTGCAGTATTCACTTAAAAAAAATACAAATGTGACTTTGTAATAAGATGAGACTGCACTGTCATACTGTCAAACCACAGAAGCAAATGTTCATATAGAGTCGCAAATGTTTACAGCACAAGTTGGTAAGCTAGTTATTTAGAATTGTGTGTGCAATGAATATGAAATATATATTTTATTAGAAATTACATAAAACAAATGCAAGATAGTCAGGCCCTGGGACCCCTTCTAGATTGCTAGGCCCTGGTAATTTCAACCTGGCCTCTTGCCTTCTATTCCATACCCTCCAACATTTATCCGATGAAATAGGGACATCTCATTCCATAATGATAATGTTACTATTTGTACCCCACACATCTTACTGGGTTGCCTCAGCCACCGCTGGGCAGCTTCCAATATATATAAAAACATAATACAGTGGTGCCTCGGGTCAAGTACTTAATTCGTTCCGGAGGTCCGTTCTTAACCTGAAACTGTTCTTAACCTGCAGCACCACTTTAGTTAATGGGGCTTCCTGCTGCCACCGCGCCGCTGGAGCACGATTTCTGTTCTCATCCTGAAGCAAAGTTCTTAACCTGAAGCACTATTTCTGGGTTAGCGGAGTCTGTAACCTGAAGCGTATGTAACCCGAGGTACCACTGTAAAACATTAAACATTAAATAAAACTTCCCTATACAGGATTGCTTTCAGACAACTCACGAGTCGAATAACTCCATACCCTCTAACATTTAACCGATGAAAATAGGGACGTCCTAAGGAAAAGCAGGACATTTTGGGATCAAATCAGAAGCTGGGATAGCTTCTCTAAATCAGGGACATCCCTGGAAAATAGAGATCTCTATTTAGAGGGTCTAAGTTATTGTTGCAGTTCCTTCTCAGCTCAAGGCTCAGTGCAGGCGAACCAATCACTCTCCCTTAAATCCACCTCTGCCCCAACAAGCTTGTAGGTATTTTTGACAATTATTAAGATACAAACTAAACTAATTTTGTATACCTAGATTCCACCTTAGAATGCAAAAGCTGCTGGCTTATTTCTGAATGGCCTGTTTCACTTCCAAACTTTATATGTACAGGACCATACAAGTTCAGGGTTCCTGTGAATGATCCTTCTCCTAATGGGTCATAATACTACAATATTCCCACTTGCATATACCAATATCCAAATAGACAGCTGCAAATTTGTTCATCTCACTGTAGTAAGCATTCCAGTTTGAGAGTTCATCAGTTTTCACAAGTGAAATTTTAATTAATACTGGAATTGTACAGAGAAAACTACATCTGTGAGTGGATTCACAATTGCCACCAGCATTTGATCTTGAAAAACAGACAAGATAAGTGACTATGATGTCAGTGATACTGTTAAGTCTAGGAATAAGAAACCATTAAATCCAACAGCAATTTAATGCAGTATCAGGGCAATATGATGTATCTGATCATTTATTATGTTATCAACAAAGTTATCAAAAGAAGCTCAAGAGGTACTTGATGTGATGGTGGTGCCTTTATTTATCTGTTTTCTACACTGCCATGCAAATGTTTAGTGCTGCATCTAAAGAAGTCGGGGTAAAGGTAAAGGTACCCCTGGCCGTACGGGCCAGTCGTGACCGACTCTAGGGTTGCGCGCTCATCTCGCTCAAGAGGGCGGGAGCCTGCGCCGTCCAAAGACACTCCCGGGTCACGTGGCCAGCGTGACGAAGCTGCAACTGGCGAGCCAGCACCAGCGCTGCACACGGAAACGCCATTTACCTTCCCGCTATAAAGCGGTACCTATTTATCTACTTGCACTTAGGGGTGCTTTCGAACTGCTAGGTGGGCAGGAGCTGCGACCGAACGACGGGAGCTCACCCCACCGCGGGGGTTCGAACCACCGACCTTACGATCAGCAAGTCCTAGGCACTGAGATTTTACCCACAGCGCCACCCGCGTCAATGAAGTCGGGGTAGACCTAATGAAATCAATGGACAAATTGATTTCAGTGAGCCTGCTCTATAACTTAGTAGAATACAACCCTGGATGTTAACTGACTTTTAAAAATAAGAAATATTTTTTCCAGCCTTACTGATAAATATGTACATTTTGTACTTGTTGAAGATAGGGCCTTAATTTTGGCTTTGTTGAGTAACCTGAATGACACTTGTCATATATGTATTGTCTTGTTTTAAATAGATTCCAAAAGCAGGGCTAAGTGAGTGGGAAAGTGCAGCAATATGCAACTGTAATGCGTTACAAAACTAATATGCTTTCTATTAAAAATAGTGCCAGATAGCACTTAATGTAACTTTTTACTTTTAGTAATCAAGAGTTTTCTATAATACCCACCATTGTAGTCTTCAAGCCACATTACAAATGCATCTCTTCAATCTATTCCCTATTTTTAAAAATAAGCCATCAAATTCTCTCAAAGAGATGTGTATAGGAATACACTGCTCTATTAAAAGGAATCCAAAGAAAGTAAACATTTAAGAACTGTACAGACTGATTACAGAAGAGATGGATGTTAATTGCATCAAAGTGAATTTCTGGTATGTGTAGGGTTGTTGTTGTTTTTTAAATCATGTTTAATTAATGATGCTTACATTAAAATTCATGAAATTAACTGACATTTCCTTTTTTACCCAAGTTATATAATTATACTACTAAAAACAATCCTATATATTCACTATGCCAACCAATACACTAACAAAAATGTTGTTCTTATTAAACCATTGCAAAATATAAAAATAAGAAATAAGTGGGTGAAAATTAATAACCTTTAAAACAACTACATTTGCAAAAAGATAATGTGGCAGCCTGACAAAATATTAAACCTGTTACTATGGAGAGTCCTGGAAACTACATGACCTTTTTTGCTTGTCACTGAAACAATTTTCATTACTTCAGGCCTGCTTCTGTTCTTGCAGTGGAACACATTTAATGATTAGTTCAAGTTTTAGGTCAATAGCATGCCAATTCATTTTCCCTTGCTGCACTTGTGTCTGTCGTAACAGAGAACTGTGTGCTGCAGACCTTCTTTTATTTGTCAAATACCTGTTTAAAAAAAATGTTCTTCTCACCTGCAGATACTGTACTGATACTGTACCATTCATGCTTTACATTAAATGCTATCCCACACATTGTATAAGCTCTTTCAGGATTAGAAATTGGCCCCTTCCACCTGGAAATGCCTAATAACCTAGTCTCATATAGTTCTGAAAATGTTAATCACTGACTGCATACATTTTGCACCTATTGCTTGTAGCTGACCTCTCACTAGGAAGTTCAAATTTCTTAACAGTATAGTCCTATTAATGAGACACATGGCTAATTTCTGTTGCAAATGAGGGCAGTAAGCATAAGGCAATGGAGGAAGGCTATTTGCTATATAGTTACAAATATGCAAGCATGCCTTTAATTACCAAATGAACTAATTTTTTATTATCCAGATGAAAAAAGAAAACCTGAGGGAAATAATGTGCATGTACACATCAAGTTGTCCAATATATTCCAAAGTTCTGCCCTAGTACAAGTAATGAAGCCAATACAAGCTCCTACCGGTTCACTGAAGGAGATAAATGCAAATGTTACTACTGTATGTCAATAACATCATGGCCAGTTGCTTTTAAACTCATATAGGACACACACCTCTCCCTCAGCTGTACATACTCAGAAGAAAGACATATTTTATAGTTACTATAATACAGCAAGAATGAGGGTGGCGGTGGTTGTGGTGATGATGATGATGAAGGGGAGGAGGAGGAGGTTACTATTCCCAGCACCTGCTGGGAAACCATATCCCTACCTCAGCAAGTTGGATAAAGGAATAGGTCCAGATCCACTGCCCAGGAGCCCTCCTTTCCTGCCAGCCAAGAGTTTTTCCACCAAAGCCACATTCCCAGTGCGAGCAGCTTCCAGCAGTTCCTGGTCCTTCCCCATGGTCGGGAATCATCAGAGAACCTTCACACGAGACCACCCCCAAAACGCCGTGTAAGTTATCCCCGCCTCCCCACCCAAAAATGGACCATCGCCACAAAAAAATAATTTCCCTGCTCGCCTGTCAGACTGAGCGATTTAGGGATATTCCTGAAGCCTTCACAAGAACACAGCAGAAAAAGGAGCAGCAGGAGCAGTGGTTGGGAGGGGGGAAATCACCTCCTCCTATTTTCAGCAGATCATTTCTGGGTGGAGTGTGGAAGAAAAATAGAGGGAGGAGGGGGGCGCAGAGGAAGAAAGACTCTTCCCTCCACCCTCTGCCCAAATTCTAGTTTGGTGAAGCGGGAGGAGAGAGAGAGTGCTCTGAGCTCTCGTGCCAGGCTGAAGCGGGTGAAGAGTGAGGGAGATCTTAACGACCAGCAGGGCGCGAAATAAGGGGAGACGCAGTCTTGGCCACCCAGGCCCGTTGCTGAGGAGACAAGAGTTCTCCGCTTCTGAATGGCTGGCAGAATATGTGGGTCGCCCCCCCCCACTCCCTCCCTCCTCCCCTATCTGGCTCCCGGTCGCGTGCCCTTGCTCCGGTTCCCGCTGCGTTGAGGGATTCTGCTGCCCTCCCTCAGCTGTCCAGCCCGCCCAAATAGCGGCAGCAACTGTAACAGGAGCTCGTCTCGCGCTCCACTGCGGTGTCGCGCGCGCACACATATACATACGCGCGCACGGCTCGATCAATAACGGCTGCCCGAACGGGGGGGGGGGGACGAGGAGCTGCGCGCGCGCCGTGGCTGTGGCGCGCGCTCACCCACCCTCACGCAGGAATAGCGTTAGGGAGGGAGTGGAAAAAGGAGGAGCTCGGAGGGTGAGGTGGGGTGAGACCGCGGTGTAGTCCCGTCAGGGTGGGGAAAGAGAAGTAGGAAAACAACATTTCGAAGGAGGAAACTGGGCCGCCCGCTCCCCGCCCTCCCCACATTGCGACGGGAGTGACGAGGCAGGCCAGGATTGCCCATTGGGAGAAGGGGAGCGGGGAGGGGAGGGGAGATATATATGGGGGAACTTGGGGTTCTCCAGAGCGGAGGCGACCCATAGGGTGCATACCAGCAGCAGCAGTAATCATTTGCTGTCGGTGCGTCCACACTTTTTAAAAGGGTGTCCTCACACCACACACCTCACCCCAGCCACTAATCAAGGCAGATTTGCCTCGCTAAACCCACTGGGCTGTTACGAAAATGGCACCTTTGAATCCATGGTGGGAATATTATGGAATCCAGATATTCCCTGTCTTAAATTATGGGTTGCCTGGTTCCCCTCCCCAGTCCATTTTTTTAAAAAAGAGGTTCAAGTTCGCAGGGCACTTCCACTACTACAGCCAAGTCCACTAACCTGGTGAGTATTAGAGGAGGAGTTATTTTAATAAAAAAAATAGCTATCCTGCTGCAGGTGGTTTCTTTTCAGCCAGTAATAATATAAATAATTATCTACATCTGTGCAGTATGGTGGCTTATGTACTTCCGTTTCATTTTTATTGGCTCCTCAAAGGAAAGAAACTTGATATTTTTAATTAATTCTCTGAATTAAATTATATCTCTTGCTTCACTTTGTAGAGTCATTATGCTGGAGAGTGGAACTTGCATTATGTATATCTGAGGCTATTGCAATGGGGTCAGATTTTAGTACATATTTAAATATTTAACACAACTTTTAAAATCAAATTTATTATAACATTCTTCTTAATTTCCCCTAATCTTTCTTTTGTTTCAATCTGTAAAGGTTTAGCCTTCCTAGTTAATAATGTCTAAAACAGTCCTAGACTTTCGTATCACTACCTTAAAGCAGCGTGCCCATCACACAAGCCTGGTAGGTAGACCATATTCTTGGTATTGGTTATTAGCATCGTATTCTTCCCTACCCTTTTGGAGAAGCGAGCCATTACGCTATATCCATCCCTCCAAGCACTGTGATTGGAGTGTGTTGGGTGAGATTCTAACTCCCAATGATCAAGATCCAGTTCCTTTCCTTCCTTCCTCTCCCCCATCCTGGCACTTATATTATGTTGTTCATATTTTTTTCTATCATTTTAGAGATGGGCTGACTTTTTTATAAAATAAAATATAAAACAATCTCCAAAGAGCTTTGGTGGGGGGTATTTATTTTGGATCACTTTAAGCAGGCCCCACTTGGGTCTGAACACAGTCACTTCAGGATTCTGATGAAGCAGTTGCACAGCCCTAGTAGACAACACTGAGTAAGGGAGATCTGTAGTCTGATTCAGTGTAATCTAGCTTCCTGTTTCTAGCAGGATTTTTTTTTTTTAAAAAAAGTCTGTCTCAGATTCCACCAATGGTAAGCCCCCAACAAAACACTTTGTAAATATTCATTTCTCCCCAAATAGCCTTGTTTTTTATATGCCTTTTGTCCCTGCCCTGACAAACCTCAAGATACAGCATTCTGTACAGAACTTTCAACTCAGCCTTTAATATTGTACTCTTCCCTATTTGTTGCATTTTTTTTTCAGGTTTAGTTCAGCATTGGTGAGGGTTGCCCTCTACTAGTTTTAAATTCTAAAAAGGAATCAGGATTACCATCTAACAGCACCTGAACAGAAAGTAGGGATGAGGAACATCAACGAATGGCATACCATAGGGTTTCTCAAACGAAAAGTATTGCTATCCCACATCAACCTGTTCTGTTTAGCAGATGTCTTTTTCTCTTTTTCTTTCTTAAAAATGTTTTCCAAAGCAATAACTTATTATACCATAGTAAAACAAGGTGTTGCTGCTGAAGCAAATGACAAATGACTTACTCAAAAAGATAGCTGTAGCTGCTAAGCTTAAGTTGATACAGGCTAGCAGCAGCTCCTTTTCTTTCTGAGAGAACATATGATGGTTATCTAGTATTTGAAATCTCTTCTGCTATGCCTGATGTTCAGAAAGCAGGTGAATGGTAATGTAGTCCCATTCTACTGAAGTAGATGACATACTGGAGAGGGTATAAACTGAGCTGAGAGTGAATAGACTTCCAACGTTCTACTATATGTTGTTTTTGTAGCTAGATGTTTCCAATGCTCAACCTAAGTGGATGGCTGAGAAGGATGCATTGTACCAGGACCCAGAGATGGGGCAGATACCATGCTTGAGCTCTGATGACAGAAAAGTCCCGCGTAATTTTAAAAATGTAGAAAAAGTAAATTTAGAATGAAATTAGACCATTTTCTTTCATGACACATGCATTGCTATGTGTGGGGAATGGGGACTGTGCTTCAAGCTTGTACTGAGTCTTAAAAAAATGCTTAGGACCTGGATGTATGAGTGGTTTCTTCTGTTTTGATCTATTTTGCTCAGAAATGGCACATCATGTTTTTATTAGAATCTGCTCAGATTATACACACACACACGCACACACACACACCACAATGCCAGTATTAGTATGTGCCTCCTCAAATCTGAGTTTTCAGGAGCTGCCACTCTCATGTCAAAACCTTGAAATTATCCTTGCACAGCAAGGCTGTCTTGGAAATATGGTCTACATACAGTAATATGCTGGATCAGCTCCAATTAAATTACATGTTTACCAAACAGTATTGCAGAATGAGCATATTAATGTTTCAGAGGGCAATTCATAAAAGATGTAACATGTTCTGAGATTATTTTCAAGTTCTATTCACTTGCTTTTTGTAAAATGAAAGATACACGTAGAACAAAATCTATACCCCCATGACTTCCCTAACGTACCTATTCCAGAAAAAGATTAATAAGTTTAACATATGAAAGCTCTTTTTCTGTTTCTCAGCAGAATGACATATTAAAAGTCCCACAAGTCAAGGCAACTCTTGCCTATGACCCTTTTAAACTCTTCCACTGTAAACAACATGGTTCATTGCACCTCCTCCTTCCCTCTCAGAACAGCTGAACATGCAGCAGCTGGCAGTTCCTGGCATAGAAAATCATGAGAGTTATATAAGTACCTTAATCCTTCCATGTTGCTTCCTGATTGGCACTTAAAATGTAGTGACTCAGCCACTGATGTATGATCCCACAACAGTAATATGCAATTTATGAAGAGCCCCTTTAAGTTCCTCCCTTTTCATCAGCGAAAAGCTTTTCTTACGCTTCATCTCAAGAAATCTCAACACTGTAATGACTGGCAAAACCTCTGATGTCAAATAGGCTTAAATGTATTTGAAAACTAGAAGAAGAATTGAAGCAGCTCTCTTCATTCTATAGGTTACCGCTACTTTTAGAGTTTTCAGTGAAAAGTATTTCAACTTAGTATTCTATATTTGCAGTGATAAACTTATCAGACATTACTGATAAGGGTTCAGCAGAATTTTGATTTAACTTTAGATTGAATAGAAAACTATCAGTCTTAATATAGTGCCTTGAACAATTTCTGTACAGTTGGGTATAAACCAGTAGATTTTTCTGTAAAGATTTTGTGTAAAAGCTTTACAACTCACTGGGGAAACTTTGAATGACTTCTGTGTATTCTACCATTAGACCTCTAACTTTAAATCCCTGACCCCCAGTGAGGGTATGCTAAAAATGGGTTACATGCAGTTTCTGACTAAGAAAGTTTTTTCAAATAGCAAGGTTTCAGAACCTGCTTGAGGATGTGCGTTTTCCTCTGTCCATAGCCCCTCTTAGGTAGAATCTCAACACATATAAAAAACGCTGTGAAAATGCTTTTTAAACAAACATTTTGAAAAATACATTGAATTTGACATAAGTGTACTATCAACATCCAGTCTAGTGTCTATAATGCACTTAAAACATGCTTAAAACCTTATATTTGCAGCTGTATAGCTGTCTTTAGGTTCATTATACCAGTTCCTTTTCCCCGCCTCAGAGACTATTAGGGAACAGTTTCCTAGATGACTGTAAGATTGATCTCCTTCAACCAAAGGTTAAGCAGAATACAACTTGTACATAATTTGGGCAACAGGTTTACAATTTCTGTCAATCAGTTGGAATCAGGAATTCCTTGGGGTCATTCCAAATACACTCTTTGGTTTCCAAGTTCACAGAAGAACAGCAGTGGCACCTTGTATTAAATCTGTCACTGACTTTGCTATTAACTCTTCTTAGGTAAGGTTTTGTTTCTATTTTATCTCCAAGGTTTTTCCATCCAGGAGAAGCAGTGAGTGAACAAGCTGAAAAGACAAGTGTGACTTAAGTGCTTAAGTGACATTATGAACACTACTTCATGTGTCATGTTTGTTTCTTTAAAATGCAAAGTGTGTCATCTGCTATCCTGGAGCTGTCCATGGTCTAGCAGAGCATGCTTTGGACCTTGCTATCTATTCTTCCCTTGCAGCCTGCTTTCTGCCTATTACCGTACTCTTGATGCTCAATCTATTATTAGTTCCTACCAATGCTCTGACTCTTCCTCTGCTTTTAGCTTCTTGTTGTACACCTGTAGGGCTTGTCTGTCCACAAAGATAGCAACATTTTTCTGTTTGCTTGTTTTGTGTTTCCAACGAGGTGGCTCAGATAAAATCAGTTGGGGTTTTTTGCAGGTACTGTAATGGGTACTTTATATGACCATAACCTTTCCAACATTCTATGAGAGATTAAGACTATTGCAAAATACTAGGCACAAAGGTTAAGCTGCCAGTGAACCAGGCTGGGCTGTGATATGACCTTTGGGAGTTCTGTTTTCATGGGTTACTGCTATTGCTGAAACGAGGGGGCAGGGCTGAAATCTGATTTTTGTCCTGGCTGCAATGCTGCTGTTCCTTCTGTCATGCCTGGTAAGTTGATTTAGAAGGAAGGGGGAAGGTGTTTTGAGGATTGGGTTGGCTAAATAGGAGGATCTGGTTTTCAAAAAGTGTTACTATGTTTAGATTTGGAGTTTTCGCCAAAGGTGCCTCTCTTCCCATCTTTGACATGTGTATTTAACAAAGACAATACATGCATGCCATTTTCCAAATGATATTGAAATCAGTTTTTACATTTCAATGAAAGACTAGTGGCTGTATTCTAACAACAGATATATTCTGGAATAAAAGCATTAACAGTTGCTTGCGAAAATGGCTCTGCTGATCTCACATTTCATTTGGGTTGAGGGGAGAAGCAGAATGGTTTTTGCATAGGTCAAAAGCCAAGGACTGTTTCTATATGTGGGATTTAAATTGCATTTGAGCCTCCTGTGCTATTTATGCTAATATCAGATCACTTATTCACATAAAAAAGAATTTGTAATAAGGCTGACATTCTGGTCAATGTTAGTCTTTATGAGGGTTTTAAGAATGTAAAACCTAACTATAACAGTTTATCCTTGAAACTAAACTAAAAATGTATTTCCAAATTCCAAACCCAAGAGGAAGGTTCACAGAGTTCTCACTAGATGGAGCTGGTGCTCCCTTGAAGTCCTTCAGCTTGCTGTAATTGAAGCAACAATGAATGTTCGTTGGGAATCTTTTTTATAAAAAAATGTTTAGTAAAGCATGTGGCTAAAACCTAATTCGAAGGGCATCAAAGTATTTTCGGAAAGCAAGGCTTCATATTTAGGAGGGAGTGAAACTCCTCAACTAAATCAATTTGTTTAACTGGAACTTAGATAATGCACTGATGATGTCAATATAAAAATATTTTTTGTACAAATTAAATACTGAAAGATAACATGGATGGACCAAATGATCTCACTGTCTGGAGTTACAGGAACTGGATGAAATGTAATAATACAAACTGTAAGATCATCTGTTTAAAGACTTTTGCTACTTAATGCAGAATCATCTACTGGGAATGACACAAGAAGAGAGCTGGGGTTCTTCAAAATTGACCAGACGACTGAAATGATGTGGTGCAATCCCAGAGTATACTACATATGACACTTCAAGTTAGAGATAAGAAATTATTAAAAATTACAAGATCTTTTTTGGAAAAGTGTTCTCTCATTTCAACCACAATATAATCACTGCAGCTGACCTTATGAGAGGAAGCTGGAAGCTGGACCAGCAAAATGGAAAGTATATATACACTCTCCCATTTTTGCTGTCAGGAGAAACAATTAATTAAAGACACTTCCACCCAAGCCAATTCTTCACTTTCCCACACACTTAAAACTCCAACCACAGAACTGTAGATATTAGGACTCTGGTTTGCACTTTAAAAAACAAGGTATTTCCCAATTCCGTAAAACATTGTATAATTCAGACGAAACAAATACCAGACAATGTTTTTAACAAAATGATTCAGAAAGATCTATCCAAAGTGAATTTTCCTATTGGGCGTAGTCTTCATTATTTTAAAAACTTAGAACCTCCTGCACAAGTCTGTGCTTTTTATTTATATATTTGCAGCAGTTTTCAGCTGAAAACTAGAATTTAAATTTTTACAAGTAGCCCATAGTTTATAATGCAGTTTTACATTTTTAATGGAATTTCACAAGTCCAAGAGGGCAGTTATTTGATTTTCCCCCTCCCAAGTGCATTAATATACAGTTAGATTACATTTTTACAAAAAAAAAAAAAATCCAATCTGTTAAAAGGTTTAAGTAAGGAATGTTCCTACAAATGACCAGTGATCATCTCTGAAGAGCCCTGGTCTAATCATTAATTAGTGACAGATCAGCTGACCAAGCACCACTCCAACATTCTTCACTGTACAATGGTCACAAATACTGGATAAAAAGAAACCAAACATTAGCATGGTTCCAGCACAGTTGGAGTGTTTCCTCATTTTCTTGGGTCACACCTTTCCAAGAGTGGTTTCAACACATTAACACAGCTGATAATGTAGGCATAAAGGGGGTGCGCAGTCCCAGGCAAGTTCTGTTGGTGTTAGGCCCAGTCTCTGGATGATTACTTGAGTATTAGTTAGCTACGATGGACCATTTTGTGCCCACCTACAGTTAATAGTGCAAATTTAATCTCCCTTGAATAGTACTTTTCTTCTACCAATAACAGAACTTTATCTTCACAAATGAAGATAGCCTAACAATGACACATGGTACATTTTATTCATGCCACCACCTATTAAACAAATTAGTAACATATAATAGAAACTGATTTTCCCTGCATCACTGCATCTTAAATTCAGGCTAAAGAGAAGCACATCCTAATTCTTTGAAGATGTTGACAGAACTGATTATTCTGCAGAAATTTTGTTCAGAGCTCAGGTTCCAAAAACAGTCTAAAATGTATCCCTTTTTGTTCCAGTGCAACATTATAGAGTCTTCTGTCATTTATTTTCCGTATTCATCATTTTCATTTGATGCAGCAGGGTGTCTTTTTCCAAGTGAGCTTCAGCAAGAGCTGTCTTAGCTTTGGCTAGTTCTTGTTTAAGACATTCATTTTCTTCAATCAGCTGGAAGAATAAAGTAGAAATTAAGAATTTAATACTGTTATATAGACTCCTCTTAACATCCCCCCCCCAAATAATGCTTTCTTAACAAAAAACAAGAACAAATTTCCATGAGTTTGAACCAAAGGTATTAGTTGTCTAGAATTACTTCATGTCCCTCTTTCAAAATGCTTTGTAAAGTTCATTTTGATGGGGGAATAGTTTGAAAAGGAATGGCCTAGAGCAGAAGGAAAAAATCACGTTAAAACATACAATTTTTGTCAAGAGGCCTGCACAATGAAATGTTCTGTAGATTTATGGTTACCTGCTCCTTGATCGAATCAGATAAATTCCTAAAAGGTTTAAGAGACCTCCTAATTTCTGGAGATGTTTGTGTAGCTTGAGACAGACAATTCTGTTTTTTGTGCGCATCAACTTCAGCAGTTTGTTCTCTTGTATCATTACTTGTCTTAGTCTTTGGAACATCACTGCTAGGTGTTCGGTTATCTGTTAAAAATAAATAATAATTAAAATGGGTGATACCCAACAGTAACAGCTCCACTACTACCAGTCTATTTCTGGGCACAAATCAAAGTGCTGCTTATGACTTATAAAGCCCTACACAGCTTACGTCCAAGCTATCTGAAAGACTTGCATTCCCTCGTTGCATTCCAGCCCAGGTTTTGAGGTCCTTCCCCCGCCGAGGGACCGCTGGCTAATGAAGAGGTTTTTTTTCCAACAGGCATTTGGGAACTGGCTGCTTTTAAAAGGATGGTGCCATGCTGGTTTTTATTGTAATTATTGGTATGATTTCAATAGATTTTATATATGTATATAATTTTAAGTCAATCAGTGTTTAATTGTTATTTAATCATTGTTTTCTCTGTGTTTTAGCAGTTCTTATTCTTATCTGTAAGTTGCCTTGAATCAGGAAAAAGGCAGAATATAAGTAAATAGCAATATCAGTCATACTGAGTAGAAAGAGTGAAATCACTTGATAGCATCCAATGATTGTATCTCAACAGCAATTTATTTCAGTAACTTGAATTGTACAGTGTCAATATAAAAAAATTTAAATAGTTAATGATCTACAGCTAAAAAGTATCAAGTACTATGAAACTAAGCTGTATAGCATAAGCTTTCATAAATAACTAATCCTTCAAAAAGTGCATCCTTGTACAATCACACCTTCACATAACTATATCTCTGCAGACATCTTAAACGGAGGTGCCTTTATAAGACTAGACTTTATGGTTCTAATGGCACGTGTGTAGCCACCAGATACCCTTAAAAGGATAAGCTAGACTGGTCTAGTGGTTGTTACGATATTACAGTTGTGTGAATAGATGTAGCTAACCACTTTACCCCATCAGTCTTTTGGGGGATTCATTTTTTACTTTCCAAAATATCTGGGTTAGAGGGAGTTCTATTGTTTATGAAGCAAATTATAACTCTTACTATTCAAGACAACCTTTGCCTTAGTATCTCGCTGCATCCAACACATAATATTATTGAAAGTGAAATGAGTCAGTGTTCACATCTTTGATTTACCATTTACTTCTTCCTGTTAGTTTGCTAAATACAGATTTATGTCTTTACATGTCATATTCCCAAATCAAATATCAGAATTTAAATTAATCCTTTGACACTTAAGTATCAGCAACTTCTTAAGAGTTCTGAGCCATATAGGGGCTAGGAATACATTTCCAAATTATGTGGCCCTCTTGTTACAAACGGACATTCGAGATATATTTGGAAGCTTAACTAGTTATCCTTTCATATGTTAGTTTCAAGCTAGTCTTTTGCATCTTCAACTTAAATCCTTTATAAATTTAAATGAGGCTGCTAATATCACCTGTAGTGAAAACTACACCTATGTTGCATTTTCCAAAGTCTTAATTTAAAAGTTTCTTTCTGTTTGATTTAAAGATATTTCATAGTCCAAAATTACAAAAGCTATTAAATTCTGCATTTGATATTTATGGCGATCAGGCAAGCAGCAACAACAGGGTAATAATTTAAGAAATTCAATAACCCTCCTTGTGCTGTTGAAGATTGTTCACCCACTAATAAAGCTTGACTGATCTTGACCTATATGGTTCAATCTATTAGTGTAAAAACTTAGTCATGATTCACCAATGATATCAATCTATTCATGATTGGGAAAATCAGATGTTCTTCAACATTAAACAGTTGAACTTACAGTTTAGTATTTTAGCATTCTCCATAGTTTAAATGTTTTATTGAACTACCTGCATTCCCGCCCCCCTTATATAGCCCAAATGGGAGGGGCAGGTGGGCCTTGTCAACCTGGTAAGGTGGCACATCCAGGAGAAAGAAAACTCTGATCTAAACCTTCGCTGCCTTACGGGATACCTTCAGGAGAATAAAGGGCTAAGGAGTAAACCCTACACAAATCCAGAGTGGAGTCCCCAAGTTGATTGGATGACACCTTTTACGCCTCCTTCCAGCAACCAAGCTGGTGCCAACATATTGCTCTGCTTTCCTTTGGACCACCATCAGTGAGGCTGAGAAGGGGGTCTTCTTGTCTGGGCAGCCCAGGACCTCCAGACACACTGCCGAGGCTTGTGCCCCAGGGAGGTCACTTCAGTGTTGCTAACGCAACGCTTTGACTTCACCCCTGGAGGTGCACTCCATTGTCTCTCAAGACAGACAGATGCCAACAACATCACAAATGATAGAGGCTTGAACTAGATTGTGCAACACATGATTTTCCCCCATGATGGTATTAGACTATAACATTTATTTCTATTTTCTTATGAGTTTTATCCCACTTTCAATACAAATATTTCCAAACACTAAAAATAATAATTTGGTAAAATAAAGGCAGGCAGGCAGACCTCTGATGCAAAATGAACCGTCATCTTTCCTCTCCACCATAAGGAGGTCAATATTCAGCGTTACAGGGGCTGGTTCAGGAGCAGTTAGATTGTCACGTGGGCTGTCATCCTAGAAAATATAAGCGATACGAGCATATTTTTAAAATATATCACATTAAATTCAAGCAGACTATAAAGTTCTCTGTGATATTTGAGTCAATGGCAGAACTCCCAAAAGCATCAAGCAGAGAGAGACAGAGACTTTGCTTGCCTCTGAGGAATGGCTGCTTCTGCATGCCCAACTCTCCTCTTTCACAAGCAAGTTTCTGACAGATGAACTCTGAGACTCTTTATACTGCAAAGAGTTCATGAGAATATGCTTCCAAACATCCAACTAAATATCTCTAAAACAAGGCAGAACATTGAATTTTACTTCATCTAATCTTGCAGTTTAGCTGAAGACAATATACAGCACTGATGTTAGGATAGCTTTCTATGAAGCCAAATTTTGCTCAATAGTGCTTGCTTGAAAACATCACATCATTTAATGACTTTAAAACTATTGACTAGTACCTAACAGGAGCTGTTAATTTAAGCTTTTTTTTTTTAAGCAATGCTTTCCCTCAATCCCGAATTATCAATATTTACTCTGAACTGACATCAATCTCACTCCAAAAATTACATACTTTTAAGTTGATCCTTGTATTAGAAATTTTTATATTCATAGGCATCACTTCTGCAACCATTTCATCTTCCAAAAAACGTTGAATGTTCATAAGTGAAGACATTAAGAAATCAGCACTCAAGCCTTCCACATGACATTGTAGAAACCCATTTTTTTCTGATAGCAATGAATGTATTATAGCACTGGGTCCACTTTCCCATCTCAGTCTGATTTCAGGAGTTGATTTAACTGGCCCAGTCACAGTCTTAGGATCTGAACCTGTTATAAAACCAGTACAGAATCAGGTAAACCAGTTTTACATGACATTAAATGTCTCTTGTTTATAGCCTATCTTCCAATATGATGTAAACACTGACTACTTTGAAACAACACAAAATATAATGGGGCCATGTCATCTACTCGACAGCTAACTTGCATTAGGTATTTTGATTTAAAAATCTATAAAAGGATGGAAACTGCTTCCATAATCTTTATAGTCAAAGGGAGTGTAATCAGATAAAGGAAGTATTCATAATTTCCCCTCAAATGCCTATTTTACAAATTAATTTCACAAACTTCATAGCATTTCTTCCTTTTAATGATATTTCAGATGTACTAAATAAGCAACAAAGTATAAAATAAATCCTGCAGTATAATCTATGGGCTGTATCCAATGTTGTCCATGA